TCTTCTCTCCTCCTGGCTTCTTCCTCCTCTCTCCTCTTGGCTGCCTCCTCTTCCTCTTCTCTTCTCCTAGCTTCTTCCTCCTCTCTCCTCTTGGCTGCCTCTTCCTCCCTTCTCTTAGCTTCCTCCTCTTCCCTCTTCTTTGCCTCTTCCTCTTCTCTCCTCCTGGTTTCTTCCTCTCTCTTCTTGGCCTCCTCCTCTTCCTTCTTTCTCTCCTCCTCTTCCTTCTTCCTTTCTTCTTCTTGCTTCTGTCTTTCAATTTCCTCCGTCATTTTCCTTTCCATCTCTTCTGCACACGATGTGCATGCCAGCATTACCGACTCACCCTGAGAAACTAACAAGTCACCGATAGCACTGGCATTTGGCGCATTGAAGGACGCTGCTAATACGTCCCGATCAATCGTCCGCAGCACCGACCTCTTCCCTGCCAGGAACTGAGGATGATTCTTACCCGCCATGCTGCTGAATCCAACAAAGACGAGTGTGTCATTGTTGTACGAAACTTGTGCCATGGGATGAAACCTCGGCACCACAAAGACGTCCCCTTCTTGGACCTTAAACTTCTTGTTTTGGCATTTGGAGACATCACCAACCTTGCCCGATGGATCACTGGGGCATATAACTTGCACCATGCCTTGCCCTTGTATCACCGTAGCAATCTCCGTAGCCCTAGGGTTCCAATGAGGCCCCATCATAGAACCCTTCAAGCATGGAACCCAAAGTTAGTGCACTCACAATACAGGGATTTCTGAGGATTCAGATGACTAACCGTGGCCAAGTTCACCATGAATGCAGCTAAGTTAGAGCCCTTAAGAGCTTTAAGGTCCTTGTGAGTCACTGCAGTGCTCCACCCATTACAGTTCTCCACGTCTGGTTTGGCCCTGAAGAAATTGAATGTCTTGGATTTGGTCTTCCTCTTCTTGTTTACGATACCAGTTGGGCCACGAACGCCCATAAGCGCCTCAAATACTCCTTCCTTCCATTTTGACTTAACTCTCGCATCTTTTTGGCCGAAAGGAACTATGGAGGGAGGGGACGGAGCCCATTTGATACCACGGATGCTTTCCAGAGAAGCCTTACACACACAACAATGGATTCATCATTTTTCCTTCCCTGGTTTATTATGATTCCGTATAATAAGAATTCAAGTATTATGAATCAAGAAGATCAAGAGTAGCCTACCCCAAAGCCCATCTGGAGAACTCGTTCATCAAAGCCTTGAACTAAGTCACTAATATTCGAGTAGGCTCTGACAGCACAACCCTGCAAGCAAATAGCATTAGTCTCCGATGGGGCACACATTAAAAAGGAAAAAAGAAGAGGAAAAACTAAGGAGTTTCGATTCTCTCTCTCTCTCTCTCTCTCTAGAGAACATACCAAGGGATGATCAATGCCTGCCGTGTCAAATATGGCATGAATTCTAAGCTTCTCTCTTGTTGGATCAGGATGGCTTCGCACAAAGAAGACAGTGCCCTGTTCCAGTCTGTAAACGTCACCATGGCCGACGTCCATCTCATCTGTTTCATCTTTATCCTCGTTAACATAAGTCACTGTTCCCCTACCTGCAACAGCAAGTTCTATTTCACGATCCCTTCCATTGCCATGAGAACAAACAAAAATCATAGCAAACAAGAAAATATTATATATATTAAAGATTTAATTTGATATTAAGTCATCTTAAAATGAGATTTCATTTTGTTTCAGGGGATCAACTAGGTGGCTTTAATTATTGTTGGAAAGATATAATTAGGATTACCAGTGTGCACGTAAAACACCATGTCAGTGTGAAGCAGCACAGGGAGGAACAGAGAGACGGGCTCCAAGGTGATGAACTGAAGGTGATAGGAACCACCGTACCCATCATGCACATCGACGGCCGTGATCCTTCCGGACTCCGTTAACACCAAGGTCCTCCGGCTCTCTCTGGTCACCAGTGGACTCGGCCACTCCTCGCCATTAACGGAAGAAAGAGAACACAAGAGGATCATCCCAACAACAAAAACCGCAACCTTGGAGTCCATGTCCTCTCACGGTTTCACTCTCTCTTTCCAAGTTGAGAGATGGGAGCAAAGACAGCAGGGTGCATAAAAAGGGAGGCGATAAGACCAAAGGTGGCGGACGTGCGTGGTTCTCTCTTGGAGGTGATGTGCATGGAAGCCACGTTGAACGGGGACTCGGAACGTGACTCGTTTCGGCAGCAATGAGTTCGCGTGGACAGATGGACACTTGTAAGATTCCTCTTCCGGTCACAAGTAGAGCTAATGAAATCTGATTTCTTCTAAATCTATGGGTTGAATTTAACTCAACATGTGTTTGTATGTACTTTCTGCGGCCTTCGAGCATAATGTAACAGTGGTCGCAAAATTGGCGTATTACAGATTAATTCATCGTACAAGACAAAAGTGCATGCAAAACGTCTGCTGTCCACGAGAACCCTTGTCTGGCTCAGTTGCAGCGTTCCCAAATGGGTCAAAATATGTAGGGCCAGTATTGCTGGACAGAATAAATTGATCTCCACAGGTTGAATCCATGAACGATAGTGTTAGTGAACAAATGCGTCACGATCGGTGAGTCAGTACGGTCTGATTGACAGATCGATGTTGGAAGCTTTATACAAGATGATTCGGATGATGAGGTACCCGAGCTCTCGGGAAGGTGTGCTGGTTGACGTTGGTCGGGATCAGGGCTGATCGGTGACTCCTTGGTGCCGGACGGATCGTGGTTCCATGCCGAGTCGTCAATGAGTGATCGCCCTCTTGTAGAAATGGCCTTTGCCGGGTGGTACTCGGTCGTGGCCCCTCCGATGAGCAAGTTAGTAACGAGTGGGATTGCTTTTTCCCTCTCCTGGCCGGAGGCTGGCCAGGGGTTTTATACATTGGCGAGAGGGCTGAGGGTGCATCGATTTGGTGTCACCGTTGGTCTCCGAGGGATGGGATGACCCTTCTGACTGGTCGCCGCGCCAAGGCGTGCAGTGCGACGTCAGACGACACTGCCCTGAGCTCCCAGGACAGGACGTGTGGTATATCTTCTTGGTATGAGCTCCCGGGACGGGATGTGTGGCGTGGGGCTCTGACTTGGCGTCTGTATCGACTATGACGTGTTTAAACTGCCAAAATATATCGTATCACTTCTCCCCCCCCCCCACTAGGGCGTGCCGTGGGGTCCTTAACGGGCCAGGAGGCATGCCTGAGTTGGAGGGGGGTTGGTCGTTTAGGAGGAAAAAACGGAATTGACTCGTCGTGGGGCAATCAAAGGGGCAACGCCCCATGCCTTGGGCAGGGTTAACTCTGCTGGTCGAGCAGTCGGGACCTGTCGCCCTGGTCGGTCGAATGACCCGGTTTGGCGTGGGTCGGAGTTACAGACCCCGATTTTGCGAGTCGACGAGTGAACCGAGATGACCTGGTTAGGGCTATTAGAGGGAATTGAGGATCAACATGGAGCGATTCGCGCGTTAGACTGGGAGGGGCATCAGGTCGACCGCGAGGTGTGACTCGGGCGTTAGGTCTTTTGAGATGCGGCTCGGGCATCAGATCGACCGCGAGGTATGACTCGGGCATTGGGTCATTCGAGATGCGGCTCGGGCATTAGATCGGCCGTGAGGTATGACTCGGGCATTGGGTCGTTCGAGATGCGGCTCGGGCATCAGATCGGTCGCAAGGTATGACTCGGACGTTGGATCACTCGAGATGTAGCTCGGGCATCGGATCCAGACCTGTGGGCCGAGTGGTTTATACTCATGCTCAGGTTCTGGTGTCGGAGGATCACCTGTCGAGAGTGATCTGGAGCGACCCAGGTAGGAGCCTGACCTGTGGGCAGAACGACTACACTCGTGCTCAGGTTTCGGTGCTGGCGGGTCGCTTGTCGAGAGCGATTTGGAGCGACCCGGGTAGAGTCAGCGAGCGAACTGAGTGACTATGCTCGGGCTCGAGCCTTGGTGTCGACGGGTCGCCTATCGAGGGTGATCTGAAGTAACCTGGGCAAGAGCCTGTTCTGCGGGCCGAGCGACTATGCTTGTGCTCAGGTTCCGGTGCCGGTGGATCGCCTATCGAGAGCGATCTAGAGCGACCCGGGCAGGAGCCTGACCTGCGGGCCGAGCGACTACACTCATGCTCAGGTTTCGGTGCCGGTGGGTCGCCTGTCGAGAGCGATCTGGAGTGACCCGGGCAGAGTCGGTGAGCGAACCGAGTGACTATGCTCGGGCTAAGGACTTGGTGCCGGTAGGTCGCTTGTCGAGGGCGATCTAGAGCGACCCGGGCAAGAGCCTGATTTGCAGGCCGAGCGACTATGCTCATGCTCAGGTTTCGGTGCTGGTGGGTCGCCTGTCGAGAGCGATCTGGAGTGACCCAGGTAGAGTCGGTGAGCGAACCGAGTGACTATGC